TTATGATTCCCTGGGTCAGCAATTTGAGCTGGGCTCACTTGAGCTCCTGCAGGCAGCAAAGCAGCCTTGGCTGGGATGGCATCTCTCTGCTCCACGAGGTCTCCTCCTCCAACAGGCTTAGCCCCTGCTCCCTCAGGTGGTGGTCTCAGGGTTTCACAAAGCAACAGGAGAGAACAAGTTCCAATGTGCCAGCTGTGCTTGTGTCACATTAGCAAATGTCCCACTGGCCAAAGCATGTCACAGAGACCAATTCAGGAGGCAGAAAAATAGACTTTCTCTTGATGGGAGAAGCCAAAAATAATTTATGGCCTTTTTTTTTTTCTTCAATATATAACATGATCAATATATCACTGTGTACCTAAAACTGGTCCTGCACATAGTATGCCCCTAGGCAAATTTCTTGGTGATTCTAGGCCTCCGACTGTTTCCCTCCTCTCTGTGTCCATTACTTAAGGCTGGGCCTGAAGCCTCTTCTGGCCCTTCGCAGAAGTGAGCCTACCCTGCCCTGTGCCACCAAAGCCCTCAGAACAGGGTCTCTGAGATGGGACTGGTGAGTCAGAACACATAGGATTCTGCATTTTCACAAACTCCCTGGGCATCCAAGTTGGAGAACCTCTGTATTTGGAGAAACTCTGATTCCTTGGGGACTCAAAGCTCATTTCAGCTCCACTCTGGACATGTTTGACCTCAGCCCAGATATAAAATGGGTATAAATTCTACCTGCCTGTATCAGTCTGTTCTCCATCACTTATAACAGAATACCTGAAACTTGGTAATTTATAATGAAAAGAGGTTTATTTCTTACAGTTTTGGAGGCTAGGAAGTCCACAGTCCAGGGCATGCATCTAGTGAGGGCCTTCTTGGTGGTGACTCTTTACAGCAAAGCAGGGTGTCACATGGCAAGAGAAATGCAAGAGTTCTCTCATGTGGTCCTTATAAAGCCACCAGTCCACCCATTACAACTCATGACTCCATGAATGGATTAATCCATTCATAAGGGCACAGTCCTCATGATCTAATCACCTCTCAATGGTCCCACCCTTTTAACACTGTTACAGTGGGGGCCAAGTTTCCAATATATGAACCTTTGGGGGACACATTTGACCCATAGTGATCACTCCCTGTGATGCAGGAAGGGCTTATAGGTGCAGGAGGGCTTTATCAGATGTCAAAATCTGAGCCACCACTACAGTTGTACCAGCTTCATGGAGAAAGACATTCAGCCCTCGTCCCATCATTCTCTCTCCCCTGACCTGACTTCATGGCTCTACATAGCACTTAGCACCACCAGGCAGTACATTAGATATCTATTTGTTTGTATGAGTTCCATAAACCCAGGGACTGGGTTTTGTTTATAACCATCTCCCGAGCTCCTTGAACAGTGCCTGGTACACAGAGATAATCAGTAAATGTTTGTTGACTGGCTGAATGAAAGTGGTTGCTGTGCCTACACATGCCTAGAGCAAAGTCAGGACACTATTAGGGATGATTAAAATTTACTGAACACATAGCACATGCTAAGCATGGCTCTAAGTGCTTTCCATGCATGATATCATTTAACATGTGATAGCCTGCCGCCAAGATGGTCCCCAGTGATCTTTGCCATCTGGTATCCATGCCCTTGTATAGTTTCCTCCTCCCCTCAGCTGGGCTGACTGGTATAACTAATAGGATATTGTGAAAATCATGGAATATGACTTTTAAGGCTATGCCATAAAATATGTTATGGCTTTTGCCTTGTGCTCCTGGATCAACTGCACTGGGAAAAGCCAGCTGCCATGCTGTGAGAACACTCAATTAGCTCTATGGAGAGGTACTAAGTCATCCTGCAAATAACTGGCACCAACCAGTCTTGTGACTGAGCTTTCTTGAAAGTCAATCCTCCAGCCCCAGTCAAGTCTTCAGATGACTGAAGCCCTAGCCGACATCCTGACTACAACTTCACAAGAGACCCTGAGCCAAAACCACCTAAGAAGCTGCTCCCCATTTCCTATCCCATAGAAACTGTGAGATCATACATGTTTACTGTTGTTTCAAGCTGCTAATTTTGGGGTAATTTATTACATATCAGTAACTGATAACTTGTACATATTCTCACAGAAGCCTATAAGGAAGAAATCCTTATGATCACAATTGTACAGAGGAAAAAACTGAGGCCTAGAGAGGGGGACTCTCTTGTCCAGTGTCACACAGATAGTGAACTGTGGCACTGAGATTGGAATCCAGGTTTGAATGACAACAGAGTCTACCTACTGGGATAAAGGGTATCCACGTTGAATCCCAGTTCTGCCCTTGAAAGGCCAAGACCAGGACCAGAAAACCTAAAAGAATATATCTGCCCCCAAAACAAATCTGTGCAGGTGATTTCAGGGCTGATGGGAACATGACCGTAATAAATTGGCAAAGGCAGCAGAGAAAACAAGGCTACAGGAGCGAAAATCAGCAGAAACAGACACACTCAGACTTCATATATCAGTATTACCAGACACAGATTATAAAACAAAAATGTTTTGCTATGTTTAAATAAATAAATAACAAGGTAGAAACTATTATCAGACGTAGGGTTACGTGACTACGCTAATTGTCTGGTTAGGGCTATTGTCAGAATCCTGCCGACATAGCCAATTGTATGGCTACACCAATTGTATTGCTAGAGCTAGGGCTCAGACCCTTCAAATCCATTGTACAGACTGGGTGAACAGCCAACTCATATGCCAGGCTGGGTTACCAGACCCCTCACATGCCATGCTGGGTCATCAGACCCCTCGTGCCAGGCTGGGTCACCAGACCCCTCACACATAGGTCCACAAGCACTAGGTAATTGGGAAAGATCCTGGGAGCCATTGGCAGATGAGATGAGCTCAGTCTTTAGCAGTAGCAGTAGCAGTAGCAGCAGTGGCGGCAGCAGTGGTGGCAGCAGTGGCGGCAGCAGCGGCCTCTTGGGCATCCCAGGGGCCCTGGCAGAAACAGCTTGCAGCAACAGCCTCCAGCAGCAGTAGTGGCCTCCCTGTGGCACCCCAGGGGTGCACTAGGGGTGGGGGGCCCTGTGGATCAGAGCCACTCATCCTTTATATGTAAGTCCATAACCCAGGACACCTGGGTGCACATGCACAATTACATTAGACAATAACCAAGGAACACTTGGGCATATGTGCATATTTACATCAAATACTTGGCAAGATTCTGAACATCTGAGGAGCCCTGACCATTTTCCTTCACTTTCCCTACACCTGAATATAGGGAATTACATCTAGAGACAACAGATTTGAAAATAGCCTAACAGAATTTTTAAAATAAAAGATATAATAACCAAAACTAAAAAATTCAAAAGATGGGTTAAACAGCAGATCAGACACGGCTAAAGAGAGAATTAGTGACATAGAAATCAACACCAGTCACACATCATAGTAAAAATCCAAAGAGAGAAAAAAATTCTTAAAAGCACTCAGAGAAAAAGAATCAGAGATTACTTTAAAACAAAACAGCAGTATGACATGGATTTCTTTCTTTCTTTCTTTCTTTTTTCTTAAAGATGACTGGTAAGGGGATCTTAACCCTTGACTTGGTGTTGTCAGCAGCACGCTCACCCAATGAGCTAACTGGCCATCCCTATATGGGATCCGAACCCAGGGCCTTGGTGTTATCAGCACCACACTCTCCCAAGTGAGCCATGGTCCGGCCCCTAATTTCAAAAATATTATGTCAAGTGAAAAAAGCCAGTCACAAAAGACCACATGTTGTGAGATCTAATTTACATAAAGTGTGTAGAACAGAAAAATCTATACAGACATAAAGTATATTACTGTGGGGGCTGGAGGATGGGGAAGAAGAAATGTCTGCTAATGAGTGCAGGGTTTCTTTTAAGGTAATGAAAAATGTTCTAAAATTAGACTGTGTTAATGGGTGCACGGCTCTGTAAATGTGCTAAAAAGCATTAAATTGTACATTTTAAATGGGTTGATTTTATGGTAAATAACTTATATCTCAATAAAACTGTTTATAAAAAGAACAGCAGTTAAATTGACAGGTGATGAGGTCTCAGTAGCTGTCATAGAAACTAGAAGACAATGGAACACCTTTTTCAAGGTGCTGAAATACCAGCTATACCCACCAAAAATGTCTATCAAGAATGAGGTCTAAATAAAGATCTTTTCAAATATAAATTGAGAACATTTGTACCAGAAGACTCTCCCTACAGAGAATTTTAAAACCGCAGTTCTCAAACTTGGCTTCTTATTGTAAACACCAGAGAACTTTAAAAACTCTTGATGCCTGGGCCCCTTCCCAAGACATTATGAATTAATTGATTTGAGATGTGGCCTGGGCAGGACTTTTATTAAAAAAAATTTTTTTTGAAAAGATGACCAGTAAGGGGATCTTAACTCTTGACTTGGTGTTGTCAGCACCACACTCACCAAGTGAGCTAGAGCCATCCCTATATGGGGATCCAAAGTGTGGCCCTGGTGTTATCAGCACCACACTCTCCCAAGTGAGCCACTGGCTGGCCCTGGGTGGGACTTTTTAAAGCTCCCCAGGTGATTCAAATGTACAGCTAAGGCTGAGAACCACTGTTTTAAGTGATGTATTTCAGGCAAAAGGAAAATGATGGGCGGGTGAGCTGGGGCTTGGGAGTCGGGGGTCAACCTGCGGGGACGGGGCGGGGCCGCCTAGGCAAGGGGGACTGAGCGCCCGGGACCGCCGGGACCCCGCGGGAGTGCCAGGGACAGCCTCGGCGTCTGCCGCCGCCGGGTGGGCCGGACGCGGGGGGGTCCGGATGAGACGACAATTTTCCGGTCCCCCAGCCCCCCTACTTCCGGGGCCTCCACTTTCACTTTCTCTTCGGCCAGAGCTGCTCCCCTTCTCCGAATGACAGGGGCCTCCCGGGAGGAGAAGGAGCTAGGCTGAAATCCCGGACGCCAGGGACGCTCCTAGAGAGAAGCGGGGTCCCTCCGGGGCCTTGAGCGCCCCCACTGTTCGGCGTGGGGCTGTCCTCTCCCCTCTTTCCCCGTCCTGTCCCGTTTCCTCTTTCGCCCACTGCGGGCCTGGCGCGGTGCCCCCTGCCCTTTCACCGTCCCACGCGGGGTCTTGGCCAGTACCTATGCCAGGCCGGGTCCCTGTTCCCCGGGTGATGTGATGCTACTCGACTGCCGCCGGGGACGCCGAGGCACAGAGAAGGCTCGGGCCGCGCCGGAGTCCACCCTGCCGGGGCTGAGTTGCTCCTAGTCGCCTGCCTTCTCCCAGGTGACCCGGAGGTAGCATTCCCCGGAACCGCAGCTCCCCCTCGGTGGGATGGGCGCAGCCGCGCCAGATGGACGAGAACATGAAGAAAGGTGGGCACAGCCTGGAGGTGGCTGGGGGACTTCGGGTGGGAAGGGGCTGGGAGAGGGGGCTTTAGCCTGCCCTCCCTCTGCCCGCCTGCCCCTAAGTTTCCTCCCTTGGGGCCCGCTGGCTTCCAGAGGCATCTTGGGACCCCGAGGACACAGGACATTGTGAACTTGGAGACCTCCTGGGCTGGTGGGGGCTACAGACCTCAGTTGACCTGAGTACCAGGGTCCTTGCCTCTGTCGCCCCCTGCACCCAACTTTGTGGAACATAGGTCACATCACTGCCATGCTTGAAATCTTCCATACTCCTCTGCATTCTTAGAGCAAAGCTCAGAGCCCTTAGGCAGCACACAAGGCCACACAGGCCTCGATGACCTCTGGGTCCCCAGCATTCACCCCCTTGCTCACTCTACTGAAGCCCCACTGACTTCTTTCCGTTCTAATCCAGACGTCTCTTGCCCCAGGCCTTTGCCCTTACTCTTCTCTCCACTTGGAACACACTTTCCCATTGAGTCTTTTTTTTTGGCGGCTGCCGGGAACTGAAACCTTGACCTTGGTGTTATAAGGCCAAGCTCTAACCAGCTGAGTTAACCGGCCAGCCCCCTGCTGGGTCTTGACATGTCCAGCTGCTCCTCCTTCATGTTTCACCCTCAGTGCTACCTCCTCCCAGACGCCTTCCCAGATCTGCTTACCTTTGCCTGCATGACTCACAATCTGACTTTTTTTTCCGTCTTGTTAAACTTAATTGTCTGTCTCTGCACTGGGATAGGAATTCCACTAGGAGAAGAACACTGTTTACCTTAATCACTGCTTCATCTCAGTTCTTGGGACAGTGACCAACACATAGTAGGAGCCCAATAAATATTTGTTGGATAAATAAACGGATGTTTGGGGAACCCTGGGAGAAGTGAATAAGATGAGCCTAGAGTGGGGAGAAGTGCGGAGTGTCAGAGCAGGCCTCCCGGAGAGGGATTTTTAAGCTGGGTGCCGAAGGATATGTAGGAGTTCACCAGGAAGACAGAGAGGAAGCAGCATACACAAAGGATCACCTCCTCTTCCACCCCGTCGTCCCCAGCTCCTGCAAAAGAAACCCCGTGCTAACTTGCTCCTGCTGTGCTGGTTTTTAGCAGAGGAGATGGCCCTGAGCCTCACCCGGGCGGTGGCGGGCGGGGATAAACAGGTGGCTATGCAGTGCGCCATCTGGCTGGCAGAGCATCGGGTGCCCCTGAGTGTGCAACTGAAGCCCGAGGTTTCCCCGACGCAGGATATCAGGTGAGGAGTGCATGGCTTGGCAGGGACTTAAGGCTTCCTGAACCCTGTGAGCAATAATATATTCTTGCCTACAGGATGATCCTTCTTAATGGCAGGTTCTGGTGTCAGGAGACCTGGTTTCCAATCCCAGCTCTGTTACTAATCACCTATGAGATATAGGGCAGGGCACTTTCCCTCTCAGGAGTTTCAGTTTTCTTATTTTTAAAATGGTACAAAACAGTAGCTATCTCATAGGGTTATTAGTAGGTGTATTAGGATGTTAGCCTTTATATAACAGAAAAAAAAATAATAATAGTGGCATAAACAGATTTGGTGGCAGCTGGTCCAGATGTGGAGGCTCTGCTCCCCATAGTCCTCAGAGGCTTGTGCTTATTCTGTCTCATTATTCCATGATTTGTGGTCTTCTTTCTGAGTTTCACCTCATGGTCCAAAGTGGCTATCCCTGCTCCAGCCATCACACCAGGAGGAAGGGAAGGAGGCACCCCTGCCCACTCTCCTCTTAAGAGCAGAGATCAGAAGTTGCACACACTTCTCCATAAGCCTGTGCACCAGAACTTATTCTCACAGCCACACTCAGCTTGAAGGGAGGCTGTGAAGTATAGCCGGGGGTCCAACTAGAAGTCAGGGTTTCTCTTAGCAAGGGAAAATAAATGCTGTCAGTCTCTGCACCAGGAGACTTAAATTTGATGCCGAAACTCATTGCACAATGCCTGTACATTGGTGTCTGTGGTTCTTTTTTTATTGCTTTTCTTTTTTTGAGGGGGAACTGGCCAGTATGAGAATCTGCACCCACGCCCTTGGTGTTATCAGCACCATGCTGTAACCGACTGAGCTCACCAGCCAGCCCTTTACTGCTTTTTATCGCTGCCTAGTAAGGCAGTAATATTACAGTTTCTGATTTTTCAGTTCTCCTGGTGGGTCTCATTTTATTTTTTTTTAATTTTATTGAGATAAAATTCACATTCATACAATTCATCCATCTAAAAGTGTACAGTTCAACGGCTTTTAGTATATTCAGAGTTGTGCAACCATCACCACAATCAATTTTACAATATTTTCATCACCCCATGAAGAAATCCCATACTCATTAGTAGTCGCTGCCCATCTCCATCTTCTCCCCAAACCTCAGCAACCACTAATCTCTTTATCTCTAGGGCTTTGCCTATTCAGAAAGCTTTGTATGAATGGAATCATAGAACATGTGGCTGTTGTTTCTGGCTTCTTTCACTTAGCATCATGTTTTCTAGATTCATCCATGTTGTAGCATGTATCAGAACTTCATTCCTCTTTATTGCTGAATAATAATCCATTGTATTGGACATATTACATTTTCTTTATCTATTAATCAGTTGATGGACATTTGGGTTGTTTCTGCTTTTTGGCTATTATGAATAGTGCTGCTGTGAACATTTGTGTTGAAGGTTTATGTGGACATGTTTCATTTCTCTTGGGTGTATACCTAGGAGTGGAATTGCTGGGTCATATGGTAACTCTATGTCTAACATTTTCAAGAACTGCCAGACTGTTTTTTAGAGTGGCTACCCCATTTTATATTCCCATCAGCAGTGATGAAGATTCCAGTTTCTCCATATCCTTTCCAACACTTATTTGTCTTTTTTTTTGGTGGCTTGCCTGAACAGGGATCTGAACCCTTGACCTTGATATTGAGGCAGCACTCTAACCAAGCTAACCGGCCAGCCCCTTATTTGTCTTTTTGATTGTAGCCATCCTAGTGAGTTTGAAGTGGTACCTTATTGTGGTTTTGATTTGCAATTCCCTAATCATTTATTGACTAATGATGTTGAGCATCTTTTCATGTGGTTATATCCGGCCAGCCCCTTATTTGTCTTTTTGATTGTAGCCATCCTAGTGAGTTTGAAGTGGTACCTCATTGTGGTTTTGATTTGCAATTCCCTAATCATTTATTGACTAATGATGTTGAGCATCTTTTCATGTGGTTATATGCCATTTGCATATTTTCTTTGGGAAATTGCCTAATCAGGTCTTTTGCCCATTTCAAAATTGGATTTGTCTTTTTATTATTGAGTTGTAGGTGTACTTTATTTATTCTCGATACAAGTACCTCATCGGATATGGATTTGCAAAAATGTTCTCCCATTCTGTGGGTTGTTTTTTTAGAACAAAAGTTTTTCATTTTGATGATATCCAGTTGACCTACATTTTCTTTAGTTGCTTCATCCAAAGTCATGAAAATTTATCCCTGTTTTCTTCTAAGAATTTTATAGTTTCAACTCTTACATTTAGGTCTTTGATCCATTTTTAGTTAATCTTTGTGTATAGTATCGGGTAGGAGTCCAGCTTCATTCTTTTGCATGTGGATATCCAGTTGTTCCAGGACTGTTTATTAAGACTATTATTTCTCTGTTTAATCATTTTAGCACTCTTGTTGAAAATTGACAATAAAATGAGGGCTTATCTCTGGACTCTCATTTCCGTTCCCTTGATCGATGGGTCAGTTCTTATGCCATTACCATCCTGTTGTGATTATTGTAGCTTTGAAATCAGGAAGTGTGGGTTCTTCAACTTTGTGCTTTTTTTTTTTTTTTTGATGGCTGGCCGGTAACAGGGATTGAACCCTGGACCTTGGTGTTATCAACACCCTATTCTTTTTTTTTTCTTTTTTTTCCTTTTTTGTCTTTTTTTACTGACCGGTAACAGGATTGCAACCCTCGGTGTTGCGCCCATACCGGGGACCGGCAACGGGATCGCAACCCTTGGTGTTGCGCCCGCACCGCGCTCAGCCAGTGAGCGGGAACCGGTCTCCACATGGGATCCGAACCCTCGGCGGGAGCGCCGCCATGCTCCCAAGCAGCGCACTCTCCAGTGCGCCACCGGGCCGGCCCTCAACACCCTATTCTTAACCCACTGAGCTAACCAACCAGTCCTGTTTTGGTTTTTTATACACTCTTTTTAAGAATTTCGTGTTTTAAGAAATTTTAATTGACACATCATAATTATACATATTTATGGGATACTGTGTGATATTTTGATACATATATAGAATATATAACGATCAAATCATGTTAATTAACATATCCATCACCTCAGGCATTTATAATTTCTTTGTGTTGGGAACATTCAGAAATCCTCTCGTCTAGCTAATTGAATGTGTATAATAAATTGTTTATTATAGTAACCCTACAGTGCTGTAGAACACTAGATCTTATTCCTCCTAAATATTTAGCTGTAATTTTGTATCCATTAACCAACCTCTCACTATTCCCCCACCTTGTTTTTTTTCAAGATTGTTTTGGCTATTCTGGGTCCCTTGAATTTCCATATGAATTTTAGGATCAGCTTGTTCATTTTGCAAAACAAGCAGCTGAGATTTTTAGTTGGGATTGCATTGAATCTATAGATCAATTGGCCACTTGATTTTAAACCAAATATTTATGTATCGACTTCTTGATGTGGTGACTCAGTACGTGTACTCCTTGCTATGAAAAATGAGGAATTTAATATACTCATCTTCCTCCTTTCCTTTTCCTGACTTCTTGATTTTTGTTAAAGTATAGAAGTCGTTTGTAAAGTATCATAAAGTTTGTAAAGTATCGAAGCTGTCTCAGTTGACTTCCACTTGATCCCCTGAATTAACTGGCACTGTTGTTTCTTCTCTAAAACGAACTACTGCACACACCTTGGTGGCCAGCAATTTGCTACTCAAAGTGTGGGCCATGGACCCACAACATGGGTGGAATCTCAGGTCCCGCCTCAGCTCTGCGGGATCAGAACCTGCCTTTTGAGAGGCTCTGGACCAGCGTTCTCACCAGTGGAGCTGATGCTTTCTAGCTGTCAGCTGAGTTTGCTCCCTAACCTGTTTATACCAGTTGTACTTGTTATGGTAATAATGTAATTTAACTAGCGATAACATCAATCAATAAAACGTGAGTGCTCAAAGAGACGTGTTTCTATGAAAACTAAGTTGATTGCTTTAGAATGACAAGATAGCAATGAGTCATCAAAAGAAAAAAAAATCCGCTCACTTTAGAGTGAGCAGGTTGTAAAAAATTATGGTAATAATCCTAAAGGGTTCTGTACTCAGATGCTTCTAGCATGTGTTTAAGTTCTTGCTCCATTTTAGAGAAGCTGGTACTGGCAATTATAGATCATGTATTATGGATGTGATTCATACCAAAAAAATCATGGGAAACTCCGAGTAACAGATTCATACTCAAAGAAAAACCGCTGGCCATATACCTAGAGACTGATCAATGAATGTGCATATACAACATATAAGTTAAAATTAATTTTTAATTTGGATCCCCTTACCGGCCAGCTGCCAACAACAACAAAAATTAAGTGTTTAAATTTCGCAGCTGTTTTTGTGATGGCTAATCACCAGCAATCCTGCTGTCATTGATGACAGCGACACAGAGGGCTCCGACTGTATTTTTTTTGTTCATAATGTTAAGATTATAGCTTTTAGATTTTGTTTTCTAACTGTAATTAAGGCCTTGCATCTAGGTTGATTCTACAAACGTAAAGCGACTATATAGCATTTAATAAGCATGTCGACTATGAAAATACTATTCACTATAGAATAAGTAGTACAATTGAAAACCATATGCACTTCTATGTTTCAACACCCCTATTGCTGGAAGAACATTTTGAGGGTTAAGATCCAGTCCATCTCTTAAATTCCTTTTAGTTTTCTTCTGTTCTTCTATATCAGACTCTACTATTCTTGTTTTTTGTTTTTCAAAAACTTCTTATGTGGAATAGTATATCGTAAACTTTTAGAGTCTTTGCATGTTTAAAAATGTCTATATTTTGCACTCCCAATTCATTGGTAGTTGGCTGGGTACTCGATATCATTTTCCTGAAGAATCTTGAGGGTATTTTCTGGAGTATTTTAAAGCAAATCTCAGATATTTCATCCATAAATACTTTGGTATGTGTCTTTAAAAACTAAAGACTTAAAAAAAAAACCTCAATGGGGCTGCCCGTGGCTCACTTGGGTGAGCGTGGTGCTGACAACACCAAGTCAAGGGTTAAGATCCCCTTACCGGTCATCTTTATAAAAAAAAAAAAAAAAAAAAAAAAA